ATCGATGCCAAGCTGTCATTCGTAGCAGGGGTGGAAATACGTCTTATTAAGCAAAAAAAAAAATTGAACAATTTCTCTTGTTAGAATTAGAGATTTTGTTGTTAATTTTTTTAAGATTGTGTTAAGTTCATGAATATTGAAGATGGTTAGCGACAACATAACTAAATGTTTGTTTTACAAAGTGAAGTAATATGAAATAAAATGCTTGTTATATGGTAAGTTTTAAAGTGGTGCGTTAATTTCTTGGATCAGTGTATTTTTTAAAATTAATCCATATACTCCTAAAACTTTTTACCTCAAAATTTTTAATAAATTCTGCTATGAATAGCTTTCTACTTTAATTAAGTATATACAAGTTTTACAAATAAAATTTTTCATTAAGGGCGGCCGTTTTTGAGTTATCAGGTGTATGTTATAACCAACAGTAGGAATCCAAGCTACTTAAGTATCAAGGATTTCATTATGCAATATAATAATTTTGTTCGAACCGACCGTGTTGTAAATAGGTACATTTGCTTAAAATTCATATTTATTACTATGTCTCGATTGCGAAAAGACTATAGTGAATTGTTTTCAAAAATAAAAATTTCAAATATAAATGACTACTCACTACTCTTAGTGGAGATTTATCAACTGATTTTATGAGTGTTGTAACATATTGTACGTAATATCGTTACTAATATCATATAAGAATGGCCAACGTCTTTTCCCAAACATCAGCCAGCATAAATACCTTTGTAATCTTTAAAAAACTCATTAACACTTTAAAACAAAAACAGTCAAAACCACATGGCAGTAGTAGTTGCAAAATATAAAGAGTTGACACAAGGAATATAGTGGGATATATAATACTTTATCATTACTTGTGATAACTTCAAAATCAATATAAAAAAATGAATAAGATAGAAACGATCACTGTTTATACATTAGTAACACGACTTGCATAGGATCAACAGGAGTAAAACGTGTACAATTGTAAAATTTTGGACCATATCAATTATTTTTTCATTTCAATTTCAAATATAACGTAATAACCTTTGTAATATGTTATCACACTTTATGTGAAACGACTTATTGCAAAAAGGCTCATATTCACTTCCAAATAAAGAAAGTATGTAAACATAAAATTTGTAAAAATGATGTGAATTAGCTATAAAATTTGGATATAGAACAAGTTTTAACTAAATGGATAACGGAACTTCTCTAACAACATGAGGATATAACCATTATTGTCAGTATTAAAAATTGTTGTAAGTGTACAAAGGGGAAGGCTCTGTCAAATACATTTTAGAAAACGTGTATTGGAATTATTATACTTGTGGCGGATATCGCGGTTGCGATTTCTAACACATTTTTATGTAAAGAGGACTCTGCCATTTGTTCCAGAAACAATCAACCATATCTTGCATGATCGCAGGCGACAAACACTTTTTGGGAACTACTTAGTCACTCCAAAAAAGTATGGTACCCATCAACTAAACCTGTACAAACAGGTACAGGCTTCTAGAATTATTGAATGGGTATCATGAAGGAATGGAATAAATAGAAATGAAAAAATAAAACACGTTTTGTTTCTTTAAACTTGCGAAAATGCATTTTCTTGGTAGTAAGCCACTACTACAAGTTTTTCACTTGTAAAAACTCATAAGTCAGTACAAGTTAAAAAAAATGGAATTCTCTGAAAATACTGTCTTATATTCTGTTGGTTATATTATTACTGATCGCGTATGCTGTTTGTTTTCTATGGATGCAAACACGTGGTTTGTTGGCAAAACGAGTGGCCAGTTATAAGGAAGATTGTGTATTTTTTTAATGTTAGCTGCGACTCATGCTATGAAGTAATTGAGTAATAATAAAAGACGTTTTACTCACCGCATCCATCAACGAATAATCTAATGGTTGAGTAGGATATCAAATGAAGTAGTAACAATTGATTAAAGACCGCTGACGTAAGTTCATTAATACCCTTTTTATATTCATGCACCATCCAAGTATATCATTATACATTTTCCGAAGTTAAGCAGTCTTTTGAACTTACCTTTACAAAACTCAGTGCTACGAAATTTTCTTTTCTCTTTTATCCTAAATACTCCAATCGTCAGAGACGAAAATGCTACTGAAACTTCAAAAATCATACGAACAAGCTAAATTTTGTTGAGAATGTCGGACGATTTTCACATTTGGTCCCATTGAAGATAGCTTCAAATGGGTTTGACAGAATGAAATATTGGTGTTTGGCAGTGTTGAAATTTACATTACAAATGAAACATACGCAATTAAAAGCAATAAGATTTTTAAAAACTAATATTTAACGATTACGAAAAAAAAAAAGTAAATAGTTTCAAAACAGTTTTTAACAGTAAATAGTAAAATGTCAGTATAAATAATAAAATTTAAAAGGCATCTCTTGCAATCTGGCAGCTGGTGGTTTGAGGGTTCTGACTCTATTGCCAAATCTATCCGCTAACCTATCAAAGGGCAATTGCCAAAAAAATTTTCTAATAATAAATTACAACTAATATCAAACGAAACAAATATTACTTCATTAATATTTTATATAAGGTATAAAATTGCAAAATTCATAAAATAATATGATAAAAATGTACCTTTTAAAAGCTTTATCTCTTTGTATTTGAAGCATATAACATACATACATACATTATAAGAACATGGCAACACTGCCAACGCAATATTTCGTTCTGTGAAACTTAATTGACAGCTAATTTGAGGCTATCTTCACTGGGACCAAATGTGAAAATCGTCCAGAATGTCAATTATGGGACCCTCAAAAAGATACAAAAAAGTTTATCACTTTTACCCTGCGGCATCCAAATAAAAACCCCTTCCATAAGGAGGGAAAACGATTTACCAAGAATCGCTACGTCGTAGAAAAAAATATCTTTAATAAAAAATGTAGCTGAGATAATTTTGAACAAAAATGTTTACTAGCACTTTTTCTATAGAATGAACGGTTCTCTTAGAAACAAACGCTTGAAGCAGCCGGTGATTTTCAATGTCAGGTACCCGCGCAAAATCAATTTCAAATAAAATTTATATCAACTCGACTGTAAAAATTCGATATCTTTTGATCAAAGTGTCCTATGGAAAAACAAAAAAAAATGAATTTTAAAGATGAAGAAATCAGCTTTCGTATGCAATTTTTGCATTGTGTCGTAAATCAAACCAGTTTCTATAAAGGGATTAAATAAATAAACGTTTAGCGATTTTTACCATTTTTTACGATTCTCATGAGATCTGTAATATTTATCACTTCCATTTTAAATTGTTAAATTTCGGTTTTCGTTTTTGGCAACAAATGTGAGGCATTTAAAATATGCCTTAAAAACGCTAAATTTAAGCTTTCACATTGCAAACGATCTAAAACGTTTAAAACTGCTAATATTTGATTAGACAAGTACATTTTTCAAAAGACCTTCAGCTACAAATTCCACCTAATACCGTTTTCGTGGAAGCATTCCTTGTGACGTGCGATCGTTTGTAATGTGAATGTTTGTTGAACGTTTATTGAGTATATTTCAAATGCCTCAAATTTGTTGCGAAAACTCAAAACCGAAATTTCGGGCTATATTTTTGAAGATTGGGCTCTAATAATGAAAATTCCATAATGACCGGTCAATGGAATTGATAATTTTTATTGATATCGTGAGAATCGTAAAAAATGGTAAAAATTGCTAAACGTTTATTTATTTAACACCTTTATAGCTATATACTAAGGAAACTGGGGAACATCAGAAAAGAGAATTAAAAATAAATATACCCTTCGCGTCATAAAAAACTGGTACAACTCTTGTAACCGAAAATCGTGTTTTTCAAGTTGTGTAAGTTGTCTTGTCACATATGTCATTCTAATTTCTAGGGCAACGTTGCCAGTTTATCGAAAATATTGTATCAAATCAGCGAAAAGGAGGGCTGTGCGACAAACACATTATAAAATTACAGTAGATGCATTCCAATGTTCCCTGTGTCAATACCCTATGTTTAAAGATCCTTTAAATTTTGGATATTAACTCAAGCCTCTCTTTGGTTATTAAATTTATTAGATACGGTTTTTTGTTGTTAATGATAATAATAATAATAATATTACCTATAAAAAAAACTTAAATTTTTGAACGTTCTTTTTTTTTTAGTTGCAATTCTGTTATCTGTAATGGCAACAACGAATTGATTCGCGAACCATTATGTCAAGTCTAAACACAAGTTTACATTGGGAAAAAAAGTGTACCAGTTTTATATGACGGGAACTGTACATAAAACCAAATATATGGTAATTGCCAATGCAAACAAGCAAGATCTTGTTACAAAAAAATTAATATTATGCATTGCTTACACCTCTCAAGCGCTGTTTGAGAATTACATGCATTTACACATTTATATGACATTAGCCTTTGCATTTGTCTGACCCCACAAGTTAAGCAGAAACATAATAAATATAAAAATAAACAAATCTGTAACTTGGTACATTACTTACTAGCTGTCACTACTTTGACATACACGTGTTTCCAACTAATAAAAAGAAATGAAATGTGAAAAATATGTATTTATTTAAATTCGCACAATATTCTTTTCTATATAAACACAAAAACTCTGCAGAAGAAATTGTTTTAACATTTTGATAAAATTTTGTTTGAATCATTTCTATTTTTGTGTTATCTTATATTTTGCAACGACTAATATAGTAAATCAGTTGATAAATTTACACTCACTTTAATATTGCTTACTCAGTTACTTTTAACCACGACGAGTATTTTAGATGTTGTTCACATCTCAATTGCTTCACAGGTTTTGTTTATCTAATTGTTGTTTTGTGATTTGTCAGGCACATGGTTGTTTATTTATATGGTTTGGTAAAAAGAATAATGTATGGAATAGTATGATGGGCCATTTTGAGTCGTTGACTTGGCGTGGACAAAAATAGCTTATAAAATGGCAAATTCTGTCTTGGTTGACATATGGTTTGATTGTTGGGTACATGTTTTTAGTTACGGCCGCTCTAGAGGTTATAGAGAACGTGATTATGACAGAGACGGTAGAAGATCCAGCAGAAGCAGCAGATACGATGACAGATCAAGACGCAGTGGAGGTGGTGGTGGTGGTAGTAGATACAGAAGATAAGTTAGTTTTATGTTCAATTTGTTTGAAATATCCAGGTAGTATTTGAGTTTTGTTACATTCATTATATTTAGAAATTTGTGTTTTGTGGATGAAGTTTCTAAGGTTGTTTGGAATATGAGGTGTATGAAATTATGTTATTAATCATTTTTTGTAAAGTGGTATTTTATTTAATTGCTTTTTATATTTCAAACGTTTTTGATAAACCTTGTATTTTCCAACTATCTCGTTACTTCATCCACTGCTCATATACAAATTATAACAAACTTTTCTTATTTTCGTGTTTTAGCATAAATAAAATTATATATCTTTAAATGTATTTACAATAAAAAAAATTCAATAAAGGATCTGTTCAATTGTTTAACATCTGAATCAGCAGGAGAGAAGCCCAATTTGGATGTGTTTATGACTGATGAGCTATGATAGTACAAGTAAAGTTCCGATTACGATAAGACAGCTTCAGTAGGACCTACTGTGATGATACAGTATTGAGCGAATTAATGTGAACAAACAGAATTAATTTGTAAATGATTTATTTAGGTCAAAGGTAAATTTAGGTACACTTACACGAGATTTTTTCATTAATTAGTATTTAATATGTCCCCCTTTTACTTTTATGACTTCCTGGAGTCTTCTAGGCATGGAATCCACAAGTTTTTTGCAATTGTTTGTGATTGCTTCATCTCTAAACCACGCCTTAATCACTGCTTCTGCCATTTTTATTTTTGTCGTACAGTCAAATTTTTGCAGTTTAGCCTTACACATTGCCCACAAATTTTCAATAGGATTAAGGTCAGGTGAATTCCCAGGACAATCAAGAAGGGTAATATATTATCCTTGAAGTATTTCATCATAACCTTCGATACATGGCACGGAGCTGAATCTTGTTGAAAAATTTCAGTCCCTTGGCCTGTACTTTGTCAAGCTCTATAGCTAAGCGTTGCATGGCTTTGTACTGTTTCACTGTTCATCATACCTTCAATAGGAATAAGACTGCCAGTCCCTGAGTATGAAAAACAGCCCCAGAACATTTTTTTTGTCGGATGTTTAACTGTTTGGTTAATATGGCTAGCTGAAACTCATTGGCTGCCTTTCGTACGAATTTTTATCGCTGGACCTGCACTAGGAAGTGGGTCTCATCAGAAAATAACACTTTTCTCCAATATGTACTCCAATGAGCGTATTTTTTGCCCAATTTAGTCTTTTTTTTTTCATCATAAGCGCGCGCTGTCAGAAGTTGTTTCTTCTGCGATCTCACGGCTCTTCTCCCTCCTTCCAAGAGACGTCTGCATACCGTTGAGTCGTGAATTTTTATTCCAGCCTTTTCTAAATCTTGCTGAAGGTCATAACTTGTTTTTCTGGGATGGTTTGCTATCGCGCAAAAGAAAGGCTTCATCTCGAGGAGTAGTCTTCCGTTTTCTTCCACATTTTCCTTTCCGCTGCACTTCAACTGACCCTGTTTCCTTTTTTTGTTTAATTATTTTGTTTACTGCACCCAAACTTACACAACACTCCTTTGCAATGTCCCTCTGAGTCATTGGTGTATGCTCAGTAAGTGTTACGATCCTTTCTCTTTTCCTAGGAGTGATATCCATATTAAAAAGTTAAACCTGATTGCACAGTTAAATCAATGAAAATAACACCAACTTGCACATAAACTGAGATACAACAAAATATAATAATGATAAAACACAAAGCACGTGTTTTGAACAATATACTAATAAGCTTTTGAGGTTATGTTGTTTTTTTTACGAAACAGTTGACAGAATAGGCACAGCAGGTGTGCCAACTTATGAAAACTGAATTTCGATCTCTGTTCACATTAATTCGCACAATACTGTAGATACCCTATACGTAGCGCTGATTATATACTTTCGGTCATTTTCGGGCACACATAGCGTTCAACAACTGGATACTACAAGACCTTTGTTTCTGAATGTACTTCACTATAATTTAGATTACATTCTGGTTCATAAAAGATGGCAGGCGTCTGGGAATCAGCCAGTGTAATTTGTAAGGACATGACATACATAATTCCATTATCTGAATACTAAGATTAACAGATCCTTCTTTGGGACTTTAAATACATCTTATAAAGATCCATTTTATTGTTAACAATGTATATGAGTATCGAATCACAATATCTAGACTTACTAAAATAGGTAAGGAGCACAGCTGTCATATATTTAAAACAATAATCAAAAAGTCTTTCACGATTATTTGTTCTTTGAATTTAATGCCATATGCAATTTAAAAATTATAATCGTTAATGTATAAAAGATATAATCACAAAATGGTTTATTTAAAGATGCAATAATTTGATATCTAACTAATTCTGTCGCAAGCATACCTACCATATTGCTGTTAATTTTCTTAACTTATCGCGACACTCGAATCCTCGGAAAATTTCGAAGAGGGGTATGTGACTCACAACAATCCAACATCATCCGGAAACTACAAATTGCACATATAATTGCACTAATGAGTTCTCCAGCCCTTGATAAGCTTTGTTTTCTCTTAAAAGATCTTTCCAGCTATTTCTCTTTTCAGGACCACTGTTCTCCATGTATATTCGCATGTTCTTATTTCAGGGATAAACTAAACAAAGTTTAAGTGAGTATGTCAACTTGTCTAATACGTTCATTAATCTCCTTAACCCAATCCCAATGCTGGGATTTTATCTACTTAGAATGAGAAGACCTGATGTAGTAAAAAAATCAACTAAATGTGTCGAGTTAGCTAGACGCCAAAATTGTCTGATGTAACCAATTGTAATTATAATCTAAACATGCACTAAATGAATTATCATTGTCATTATTAAATTGTGTACGAGTCATTAAGAGCAATATGTACTCAGGATGTTAATTATTATATTGACAGCTTTGCTGAAGTGTTCCTGATTAATGATTTCTTTATATATTAATAATATTCGTATATTTGTTGACGTCGCAACATTATCTATCTACATAGAATTAATCATAATTTAAAATTTGTCACCAAATTTATTGGTTTTTCTACAAAGTTTTGTAAATTGTGTAAGAAACTACTCACGAAGTTAATAAAATTGATATAATACCCAATTAATAAAATACAGTGAGGTGACCGGGTATGCATTGGTTTTACTTTTATTCTGGCGTTGTGTAGTTTGTGTAAAAGACAAACCACAATTTCAAACTTCACATACTTCTTTAACTCAACTTGCAGCACACGTCGGTTATTGTGAGGAGCGAGAAATGACATATTTCGCCGCAAGTACTCATCCGCGGAACGATCGGAAGCTTGGCATATTCATGCAGTGGCGTAGTTACTGCTAAGTGTTAGAATTGTGTCCGTCATTGATTTATTGTCATGAGTTACTTCATCAATAACCTCTGAAAATCTTCGCGACGAAATCTTACCATAACTATCGTTTGCTGTATCTTTAATTGTTCGGCTGCAAAATTAATTCCTTTTAGTAAATGTCGTATTTAACTTTAGAATTCTTGTTCATGAGGTCTAATAACTCAATTATCTTTTTTTATGACGTTTTCATTTTTATTTTTCAGGAAATCTGGCCGGAAGGTTTCTATCACCGTAAAATATTTCCTTATATATTAGTCTACTTATTTATGTTGAATGATTCCGCTTTATTCGTAGGGAGTGAAAATAAAACCTGTTTATGTCCGCTTTCAAATCTTTTCCAGTTTTTAGGATTATATTTTAGGTTAGGTTTTTCAATTCATGTACGAAACACATCTGAAGTATTTTTTCAAAGGGGAAAAACGACAATTCAAACTTAATAAATCAACATTACACATTTTTGATCTCACATCCCGGCACTTAGAAATATATTTAATGTTTGTAGGGAAACTACGAAAGTGAACTCTAATATTTACACACAATGATCTACGTAACCACCATTTAGAATGATTCACCAATATTCTAAAAAAATAGATTTATTGTTCACTTAAATAAAAAAAATAACAAATTACACTTAAGTATTTTAATGTAGTTAGTATAATTGTTCTTTTACTATTTGTCACTTGGAAATGTTCATCAGGATCACATACACATAATATATTAAATTTTTGTTGTACTTAGAAAATTGCAGTCTTGTTTTAAAATGGTCTGACGCATGTTTTATTATAATATTGAATGTGTTATTGAGTGTAGAGACAGCAGTTTTCTAATCATATATCCATTTGTCATATTTCATGATAGTTTAAATATACCCAAAATAATAAGTGTGGAAACGTTTTATGATATGAAAGAACCAAATAAAATGAATTTCTACCTGTTAATTTATTCTTCCTTGATTTACCAATTTTCATAGCAGGACCAAATGACAGCCAATGTATTGTATAGCAGACAAGCTAACATTTTTCGACTGCCAGTTTAGAACCAGGTATCAATAATCCGTTATGCCAGAAAAAAATTTATTAAAATGACCTATAAAGCTGGTCAAGTACTATGAGCATGATATTAGTTCAAGTACCTGAAATCTACATTATTTCCTAAGTTGGTTTCACATCATCAATCGCATTTCTTCATCGTCACTGCAACCAACTGCTTGGAAATTTCGTAACAATAATTTTGGATTTATTTTAGTATTCCTATCCTAACCAACAAAATCAATAAACTAACAACTTTATCAGATGAACAACAAGGATTTAGATCCGGAAGATCCTGCGCAGACGCCGTATTTGTACTAAGACAAATCACAGAAAAGGCCATAGAGTACAATAAACCAGCATATCTATGTTTTATAGACCTGACAAAGGCTTTGATCGCATCCAAGTCGAAGACATCTTACGCCTACTGTATAAAAGAAACATACCAATCAATATTATACAAACCATCGAAAACATCTACTTCTATAATCGAATACAGGCAAAGATAAATGGAAAATAACATAGTGTATACCCATGGTACAATAAACACATTCATACAATGTATTCATTGTACATGGTGTATACAGTACAAAGCGGAGTCAGACAGGGTGACTCGTTAAGCCCACTTCTCTT